AAGCTTTTATTAGAAGAGAAACTCATGAAAAGCTAGAAGCTAGAAGCGAGAAGTGTATTTTCATTGGCTACCTTCAAAATTCTTTTGGATATTTGTTATATAGACCTAGTGAAAACATGGTCTTTGTAGGATAAAGAGGAGTCTTTCGCAAGAGAGAGCTCATATGAAAAGAGGACAATGTGAGCACAATTGAATTTGAAGATATTCAAGATTCAACCAATGAAGGAACCTTAGAAGACACTAGCACTCAAACAGAGGATTAGTTACTTGACGATTCATTACCTCTTTGTCGTTGAAGTAGAGTTAGCATACCACTTGAGTTCTATGGTTTCCATATAACTATAGATGGTGATATGTTTATCAGTGATCATACACTAGTAAATTTGGAAGAACCAACTAATTACAAGGAAGCAATGTCAGGCCCAGAGGCTTTAAAATGGAATGAGGAAATAGACAATGAGATCAAGTCCATGTATGACAACCAAGTTTGCAATTTGGTTAATCAAGAACCTAGTCAAATGACAGTTGGTTGTAAATGGATCTTCAAGAAGAAGACTAACATCAATGGAAATGTGCACAGATTCAAGGCACGACGGGTTGCGAAGGGCTTCACTCAAAGCCCATGGATTAGTTATGATGAGACCTTCTCACCAGTGACTAAGATAAAATCTATTATGATAATGCTTGCCATAGCTTCCTTTCATGATTATGAAATCTAGCAGACGGATGTCAAAACTGCTTTCCTTAATGGGCAGTTGGCTGAGGATGTTTACATGAGTCAGCCATATGGTTTTGTTGATGCGAAGTTTCCTAATAGAGTGTTTAAGCTTGAGAAATTCATTTACAGATTGAAACAAGCATCTCGCATCTTGAATCTTTGCTTCTATGAGAAAGTTAAAGAGTTTGGTTTTTCTAGAATTGTGGATGAGTCATGTGTGTATGTCAAAGCTAGTGGGAGTATAGTAAACTTTCTAGTATTATATGTTGATGACATACTACTTATTGGAAACGATGTTCCAACCTTGCAAGAAGTGAAATCTTGGCTTGGAAAGTGTTTTTGTATGAAGGATCTAGGAGAGGCAGCATATATTCTCGAGATAAGAATTTTAAGAGATAGAAAGAAAAGACTAATTGAACTTAGTCAAAGTAAATACTTGGACAATGTACTAAAATGTTTTAGTATGGAAAATTCCAAGAAGTAGAGATACCTATTCAAAGCAATGCCAAGTTGAGTAAGACTTGAAGCCCACGTACGAATGAGGAGATAGGTGATATGAGTCGATTTTCTTATGCTTTAGTTATAGTATCTATCATGTACGCTATGACATATACTCACCTTGATGTGTCCTTTTCTTTAAACATGGTTAGTCATTATCAAGGAAATCTCGACGGAGCTCATTGGACAATAGTGAAGAACATTCTCAAGTATTTGTGAAGGACAAAGGATAAGATTATGGTCTTTGGAGGAAGTGATACATTGAGAGTGACCGGGTATAGTGACACCAACTTTTAGACAGACAGAGACATCTTTTGTTCTCAATCTGATTGGGTGTTTACATTAAATAATGGAACAGTTACTCGGAACAGTTCCAAGTAAGACACTTTGGCTGATTCTACGTGTGAATCATAGTACATAGTGACAAGTGAAGGATCAAAGGAAGCAGCTTGGTTGGGGAATTTCATCAGAGATATTGGAGTAGTTCGAACCATTCAGGAACCACTGTAACTTTTCTATGATAATGAAGGTGCAATTTCTTTGACTAAAGATCCGAGAGACCATGGCAAGTTAAGACATATCAATAGAAAATACCAGTGTTGCAGAAATCGACCTTGGCGGCTGATTAATCGGCGACTAATCATTTGGCGGCCTTAAACCGATTACAATTAGGGTGATTGGCGGAAATTGGTCAAAATCAGTCAAAGTCGGCCTTGGCGTTCTGGGCGGTCATAGGCTGGAATTTTTAAAAAATTCAAAAAATTTTAATTTTCAAATATTACACAAACATTTTAAAATTTCAAAATTTTAAGCTTTCAAATTTTAAAATACTAAACTAAACTTTTCAAAATTTTAAATTTTTAAAATTTCAATTTTTCAAATACTTAGTTTTTTAGGGAATATTAATTTTTTAAATAATTTTATTAATATTTAAGGGTCCCCGATTAATCTTCGATTAATCCCCGCCTAGTCCGATTAATCACTTATCGCCAATCGACCATCGAGCTACCACCGACTGACTTTGACAACCTTGGAAAATATCATTACATCAGACATAGAATAGAAGAAGGTCACCTTATTGTAAAAAGGGTATCATCTGAAGGGAATCATATAGATCCTTTGATGAAGGCTCTGAGTTGGGTCATGCATAACCAACATGCTAGGAGCATTGGATTGAGAGATGATATTAATTTTAGTAGTTAGATGATTAGTTTTGAAACTTGTAACAAAATAAATGTAATTGATTTTTGGTGCTTAAATAATAGAGATTATTTATAAGCTTGTTTATTGAATTTGTCAATTATTTATTCTTGTGTTTCATTTTGCATGTTTTACTTCTGAATAATTTAATTATTCAAATTCCAAAGTCACTCATACTTTGGGAAGTAAGTAGTGAATTAAAATTGTCATAAATTGGATTGTAGACTGTGTAAAGAGGTTAAACATAGCAATTGTGTTGCTACAACATCCACGAGTACTTGGAAATGGGGATTTAAGTATTGGATAAACCCACGCTTAGAAAATTACTTCATGGATTATATCATGGGTAATTTAGAGATGATAATATCTTATATTCTTAAACGAAGATATATGAGTTGTAATTTACAAGTCGGTTGCGCATTGGTGTTGCGAAAACGCATCAGTAATATTATGTTATAAAATGCAGTATCATGTATGATTTGGTAAGTAAAGGATACAAGCATATAAGTTAAAGTTTATCCATTCCTTTTGCTCTAACGAGAAAAGTGATATCTTTGGGCCCCTCAGGATTTGGTGTAGATTTATAGTGTTGGGCCCAGCTAAGACTCAATTGATGTATTCAACTGAAGTCTTATGTTGTCGTCACAAATCAGGAAATTGCAAAACAAAACTTGGAAAATAAGATTGATTCTAATCCATGTATCATGTACGTACGATATATCGAAGAACGGAGGAGTATTTGATCACTTATCTTAGGACCATTGTCTATTTAGTTCAGAGTCCGGTAGTTGCTATGGAAGCAATCCTTGTTGTCTAATTTAGAAGTTATATTGGTAATTGTAGGTATAGAATTATCCAAGTGGGAAACTGTTGGATTGGGTTCCTAAGCCAATAATTGAATTAATATATACTTTAATTATTAGCAAAGTCCTTTTGGGTTGTGCTCAAACCTAGTAATTTAATAGGATGATTTTTAGAGAGAGATTGATTTATTGATTTATTATATGATTCATAAATAGCAATAACTGAATTTTAAAATAATATATTGATTAGAAATAGTAATATCTAATTAAGAATTAATTAGAATTAATTTTGGAATTAATTGGATTAATTGAATGTGCAAGGGTCTAAGGGTGTTCCATGGCATCCGAATTATTCCTTGTAGATAAACTTGAAGTTGGATAATTACCAATTTGAATTAATATTATTTTATTTAAATTAGGGTTATCTAGGGTTTCCTAATTCAAGTATCGATAGGCCCTATGAGCTATAATTTTTGTCTAATCCTTTTTCTAAGAAGCAAGGCCAAAAATTTGATCTTCCCTCTCTTTTTTCTCCAAATCTCCTAGTTGCCAAGGTTGAGTGTGAACTATCAGTGACATGAGATTTCTGGTGCTCGCTTCTAAAAGCTTTGAAGAAGGTTTTTTTTATATTTGCTTACATTAACATATCAAGAGGTATGTAATCTTCCTTTATGAATTCTGATTTCATTAGGGATATTGTAGTTTGATAATTCATAGTATGTTGCCTTTATGTGAACGACATAGATCCCTTAGGTTGCATGTGCCCTAATACGATTAATTGTTAATAGTTTTTCCGCTTAGAGCATTGTTGCTGTAACCTGTGTTTTTCTATCATCCTCTCCAACTCGACGTACGAGCTTTGAATCTCTAATGTCGATCAATGCCCGCACGGTGCTATGAAAAGGGCTTCAAAGAATGTTGATAGGGAGTTGATTGTCCTCCTCCATGTGGAGCACTACAAATCTGCTGGAAAAACAAACTTGTCAATTTTAACCAAAAGATCTTCTCATATACCTCTCGGGAATGTCACCGTGTTTTTGGCTCGATGAATGGCCATTCGGATTGGTCTTCGCTCCAGGAGATTCAATTTCTTATTGAAAAAATATGGCACTAAATTCACACTAGCTCCCGAATCTGCAAGAGCATGACTTGTGGCAAGATTCCAAAATTGACACGAAAGTATCAAGCTCGTAGGATATCCCATCTTCTTATGGCAACTTGTTAAGGATAGTAGTTGAGTAATTCTTTAGTTCAAGTAAGTTAGCTTTGATCACAAATCTTCTCCTGACCATGACGTGGCTACATATCTCCATGCTGTAGGCTTTAGAATCCTTTAGTTTTTTTTTTTTTTTTTTTTTTTTTTTACTTTAGTTGACTCGATTAAAATTTCCTGCTTCCATCTCGACATTTTACTTCCTTTTAATCCCAACATGTCTTCGCTACTAAAAAACCAATTATAAACATATTAAGCACCTTTTGTCCTAAGATAATTACAATTGT